TATTAGATCTATGTCAGATAGGCTATTGTTGTCAAAGACTTCTAGGTAAAGCTTCTACTACCACCAAAGGGCTGGCATTCCCACATTCGCCAGTGCCATGAACAGCCACCTTAGACGTGGGTGTTGTAAGATAGAGCTGCCCCCCAGGGTTCTCCAAAATAAAGACACACTCCATCACTGCCAATAGAGCCATCAATAAACCAGACCTGGTCAGGGACCACATGTTTGAGGAAAGCTTTACTTTCTCTTATCAACATGGAGTGAACCGGTCGGAATCCATGCCTTGATGTCATTTTGTTTGCTCGTCGAACACTTGGGTGGTACGTTGCCCCTAAAGGACAAAGTACATCTCTGTTGGATGTGGCAATGTTCACAGGGCTATACGTGCTGCACACAACAGCAAGTACGCCCAATAGCTTGCCCCAGTCTCCGCGCAGGACGAGAGCAACAGCCAACCTCACTTGGCATTGCAACGGTTCCTCCCCCCTACACCCCCAATACAAGGACAAGTGAAGCTCCCTCTAACTCTGGGTTCAATTTGGAAAATGGCCCATTAAGAGGTAGATGTGGGTAGTCTTGACTGAGCAACGCAAATCCTGCAGCTCCGTTTATGTCCATGTAAGACCGTTTGTTCCGTTGGGTGTAGGTCGAAGCTCGAGGTCTATTCTTGTGCTCCTGGTCATAGGTGATGTCAAAAGCACGAGCCTTGTAGCCTGTCCTGTGTGCAAAACGGGCTATGCGGCCGATACCTGCAAAGAACTCCAGAACCTGAAGCTTGGGCTCTGGGATAAGTGTCCCAAAATCAAAGTAGCACACGAACAGGACCAGCAGAATGAAGTCCTTGGAAAGCTGGGGTTGGAGGATGTTTGACATGGTTTTCAACTGCATGTGATGGCTGAGTCGCTTTAGGTGCCCCCCAAAGCTGCTAGCCGGGAGATAACAACGTAAAGCTCATCCGCGGTCAGTAGCATGGCACACCCCGGGCAATGCCTACAACCCCGCTGTGCTTCGAGGCTGGCTGGCAAAGCGCAGAAGTCTTGACCAGGTGTGACACTCAGCATTGGGTGATAGCCCATTGCCAGTATTATCAGTGGATGATGATGTTGAGTATTTACAGGCCTTCCCCGACTTGCTGAGTGCTACTGGCTATGGGACTCACCCGAACTCATTTTCCTCTAAAATGAAAAGAAGGTATAACAAGTCAGGGTGACGAGACGGGCCAACTCTGGCCCCATAGCCGCGTATGAGAGCTCCATGCGGAATATGGTTCCTGCGACCAATTTTGAAAAGGCATCTATTTTTCTAAAGGTATCCATGCCCAGAATAAACAAGATCAAAAAACAGGTATGAGATACTTTGAGAAGAAACCACCAGCCTCGGCATGTCTTGCTCATCAGAGTCCAGCCTACAAGGCTGTGCAAAAACAGAGCTTTTCATGACTTGCTTTCCTGTGAAGTCACGGATTGCAAAAACAGGTGTTGTCTTTCCACCGACTGCTGTGCGTGATGGTGTGTCCACACCCAACCTAACCCTTGCTTGCAAAGGTTCACTTTGCCACACCTTGGTGGCTTCCCTTGCACTGCAGAGGCTGCGGGGTGTTGGGAACTAGAAATGCGGTTCAACAAAGAACCCCCAAAGCTGACAATTCCATGTGGGAATTGTGTACCCTACCAAAATCTAAGACTCCTAGTCCTCAGCTGCAGCGCCATTGGTTGACTCTCCTGAGCCAAGGTCGTGGGGGTGTGGGTAGAAGGAGTGATGCTAGAAAGGGATGGGCCATGACATGCGTTAATCTATCAAATCATAATCTATCTACACATTGGGGGTCGCACAAAGCAAAAACAAACACTAAGAACAGTAAAGTTTCCCGCGGGGAAATCCTCCTGCAACTTCATGGCAGCAGTGTAGAACTCCTGGTATGTCTTGCACGCCTGGAAGTTGTCCGACTTGATGCACTTGTTCCAGAACAGGAGCTGCAGGGATGCGAAATGAAACGTCCAAAGGAGAGCACTACTGTCAATTACTTGCGAGAAGCACAAGAACAAGTAAAACGATTCTTGACTCTTAACCCAAAATGAGGTTACCTTTCTCCACATGTTGTTTCATACCGGTCCTGGAGCTTGCTGTGGCACGTAGTCCTTGGCCTGATCTTGTTGTTGAAGACTTCCTTGATGGCCAACCACTGCGAGCTCGATGGTTCTTTGGCGGGACGGTAGCGACCAGCAAATGTAGCAGGCTCGCGCCTGCCACCCGAACCACCTGTTGCAGAGGCATCCTCGGTGCTCTTCTTCTCAACAGGTTTGCATGGTTTGGCATCAGCGTTCTTCCCACTGGTATTGCCATCAGAACCACGATCCTCCTTCTTTTTGGTCCTCCTCCTTTTGGGCTCTTGCTCAGACTCTTCAGCCTTGTCCGCTTTGACCTCCGCTTCAGGCTCAACAGCCTTTGCAAGTTTGCCTCTTCTAGGCTTCTTCTTTTGTGGCGAATTTGGCGCTGCGTCAGCGTCAGCATCGAGGTCCACAACTTCCGGATGCGAGTCTTTCTGCTCAGGCTTTGGCTGTTTTCCTCGCCCACGGCCCCGACCGCGTCCGCGTCCACGTCCAGCCTGTGGTGAAGCAGCTTCACCACCTTCAGGGTCGGCCGTCTCCCCACCTTCGACTGCCACGGCAACCACTCTCGCAAGCTGATCGCTTCGGCGGACCAAAGGCGCCTGGAGCAGTTGAACGTTTCTTGTTCGAAACAGAAGGCTAGTTTCCCTTTAATTAGTTCAATCCCAACATACTCCAAAAAAGGTTTCTTGGATATCTTCAGGCCTTCAACCCCAAAAGGTCGGGTTGATTCTCTGTTAGCGAAGGTTCTGGCTTCTTCAAATGAGCAGCTTGAGGCTTCTCCACAGGGGAAGCTTCTGGCTTCTCTGATGGCTCTGGCT